TGGCCAACATTTATATCTACTGCTGGCTCTGACCGGGTCATCTTAGTGTTCTAGTATGGCAGATTTTTGACACAAACTAGAGTGCTCCCATTCAGTTGCTGTCTGGAGGAAAATTCTAGGAACCAGTTGTTCTGGTCAGTATTTTTCTGTGGTTTCTTCCATAGTTGCCAGGGAAATGCGAAAGCAGTGCCCTAATAAATGGGCCATGCACTGCGCCACAACTTTCCTTCCTCATCCTTTTCTTTCCTCTTTCCTTTTACTCAGACTTACACTTTCTTGCTTTACACTATCACATATGCTGGAAACTTAAGAGCGTATATGGATGAGCACATCACCACCTCCATGGATATAATGTGCACTACACTTTCAGGGCTAATGCAAAAGGAGTAGACTTGCTTGGAAATAAAATAATCAATCAGTGAATCACATTCATGGAGCAAATAATTCACCGATCAATGAGTGAGGTAGAATGTGTTTTTGAGATGTCTGGTGTGTATCCCGCTTAAGGGGAGGTAGTTTCTATGTGGTTCATGTGTGAGATACATGTTCGGATACATGGGAAGCCTGATGAATGAGCATTGTGCTTAGCAGGGTAGAACAGTTCATGGGCAGAGGAAGGCTTGATGTTTGAAAGAGATATCTGGGTTGACTGGTGTCATTTAAATTGTCTAGATTGTAATGTGTCTTATTGGATTCTTTTATTCAGCTGACAGACATGGTTCCTGGCCGCTACATCTTTCGCCTTCGAGTGACTGATGACCAGGGCTCCTTTGACGAGGACACAGTGTCCATCATAGTGAAGGCAGACCCACACCTAATGGATCTCGTTGAGCTGGTTTTGAACGTGGAAGCGCAGAGGTTGTCCAAGGCCCAAGAAGACTCGCTAGAAGCAAAACTCTCTCTTTTACTGAGGGAGGAGGCGATTATCCACGTGAGGGAGATGCGCATTGAAGACCACACTGGCCGAGCTGTGATTGTTTTCTACGTGGAACATCGTGACACTCACCTCATATTGCCAGGCCCTGCCGTTGTTGCACGTCTGAAGGAAAAGCTGACTCGAGATTCAGGTCTCCTGGAGATGTCTGTTGCTAGCATTCAGACTGCAGTGTGCCAGAACAACTGTTCAGGTTTGTTTTGAATCGTGTTTTTTTTATATTTTATGTTATTATTTATGTTTAATTGAATTTTTAAAATATGTTAATGTTGTTGTTGATTGTGATATGTTGAATGACTCGTGTATTTCAAGCTCAATAAGCAACTGATGTATCCATGTTCTACATTGCATTCTTAACTTATCAGATAGCACTCTTTCAAATGTATCTTCACATGATTCACGTGGTGACAATGTGGCAAATTAATAGAAACCCATAATGTACTAAATAAGATATACAATTCTTCGTGCTTGGGCACACAATTTAAACCAGTTATGGATCCCAGACTACAATGACATTCGGCTAAGCTGATGAAGAGAACGAAAACTAGGCCATGAACACATTTCATTGTGAACAGGTGAATTGTGAGCCAATAGAATGCTCTCCCAGCAGATTGTGTTGTGAAAAATACTTTAGTATCTTTCACATCCTGTCTAGATAATTATTATGAAACAAATTGAGTTTCTAGTGCAATATGTACAATTAGATGTCAACAATTTTGTTTGTGATATGTTCGTGATCAGCTTGTCGCTGCTTCCATATACATAAGCAAATTAATAAAAAATATTTAGATATAGATATATTTAAATATATTCTTGGATGTATTCTGGGAATCCACTGCAAATTTGTTAGGCATTCAAACTGATATTTTGTAATGGACCGGCAAAAAGAATCTCAAACAAATGGCATGAAAATGAAAAACGTAATGTTGATAGAAGTACATCCAGCCACAGAAAAGGATTCAAAAATATAATTTTTTTTAGCAAAACTTCCTAATCTGGGAAACTTGCTGCTGTCTCCCACATTACCATCTACAAATTAGCAGTTCACAATTCGATCACATGAACATTAAACAATACGAATTTCAAGGATATTTTGTAAAAGCATGTGAAAAAACTATTAAAGAATCAGAGACCTTAATCAGAAGGAAAACACTCTGGTGACAGAATGTAATGTACTTAGATGGTATCAGCCTAAAGATCAAGGGTGCAAATTCAGAGGAGTTTTAAAAGTCAGGGAA